GGAGAGAGTTTTTTCTTCGGTAGGTCGGGGGTGGGGTGGGGGGGGGCGGTTATCCAAGCAAATGTAAAAAGAAAAACAATTGAATGTTACTTCATGTATCTTGACAACACTTCCTGTCACACTTTAGGTGGCATTTTGAAAGTGACTTATTTGCCAGGAGGTCTCCAGATTTACACACACGATGTGGAAGATATTGGCCATAAGATGCATCTCAATAAATTAGAATATGATCAAAATCTAGTTTATTTCAATATGTCAATTAAAAATGTGAAACTCATAGATCGATTGCACACAGAACATTATATTTCAGGTGTTTATTTCTGTTTGGTTTGCCGATTGTGGCTCGCAGCTAAAGAAATCCAAACTTAGTTTCTTGGAAAATCAGAATATTTGACCAACAACAAAAAAAGATTTTTAATGTAGAAATGTAGGAACTCGGTGTTTAGTAGCACAACAATGAAACACCGTCTGCTTCAATTCCGTCCTTCAGCTCGTCTGCATGATTGGATCTGCCGTTTTGTCTTGGCCATACTCTGTGGTTCTCTCGCAGTTTAGGGCAGGAGGGTCAGCAACGTGAGGTTTTTAAAGCCCGGTATCCTCAAATATCCTGACAGATGGCCACACAGACTTTGGACTTGGGCAGCAGACAACGCAGCTCTTCGAATCACCACCACCTGTGAAACCTTTACCCCCGGACCTCTCGTAACTCGGGGCTCTGGAGTCGTCTGTGTGTGGTTTCTCTTGAAGCGCCGACCCAAACTGAGCTTTGATTCAGAATCTTCTAGAAGCCAGTGACGATCTCTGATGCCTGTGGACCTGATCTTCCGACCGTTCTCCTTCCTTCCAACTTTTTATTTTACTGGGATACGGCAGTCTGTACATCGGTGACTCCTTCAGATTAGCTGGTCGTCTATAACTGTAGCTATATGTTTGCATATTCTATCTATATAAAAAAAATTCTGTTGAGTCAATTTAATTCTTCAGATTTTCCAAGAAACGGAATAAACGCGCAGAAAAAAAAAAATCTGCTTGTTTTTTCATGGATTTAAATTGAATTCCTGAAATCAATTAGCGCTTTCGTGATATTCTGATTTACTAAGATGCATCGGTACGTGTGTGTTTCTAAGCTTTTGTTTAAGTCATG